CAATGTTTCAATCAACGAACGGTAGAAACACCACCTAAAGCTGAGTTGGAAAGAAACGAACGTACTCAACGCAAATGATTTTTTTTAACAATACAAACAAATTATAAATAGAAAAGCTTACATACCACTTTATAATGAATTAATTGAACATTTATGTAAGCTATATAATAATTCAGATAATTAATTGCATGTATAATATTTCTTATTTACTTTAATATTTATTTTAATTTAACATTGTATTCAAATGAATAGTTTATTATTGTTTTTAACTTTTCAAATTATTTTCTTCAATAATAAATAATGATTTATTCATATTGTAAATATATTACTATTAAATAACAATAAATAATAATATAATTAATAGTAAAAGTTGAGTGGGAATTTAAAATATAAGAAATTACTTAAATTAATACTTTTTCGTACAAGGTAATATGTCCATTTTAGTTACGTAATGAAGTTTTAAGTAATTTGTGCACTTTAGATAGGGCACAAAGTTTTAAGTATTATGTACTCCCTCCGTCCCGAATAAATTATCCATTTTATTATAAACACAATAATTTAGGTAAAGTATAATTAGTAATTAGTTAAAAAGTGTATTAATAAAAATAATTAGGATATAATTAAAATAATTATATATTAATATTAAATGACTAAATATTTCAATTAAAATAAAAAAATATAAATTATGATTTTTAAAATGTTATTAAAATATATAATTATATATTTTTTTTAAAAAAAACAAATTACGTAAGACTAACTAAAATAAAAAAAATGACAAATTATGTAGAATAAAGAAAGTAATAAAGTAAAATATTTGAAGAATATATTTTTAGAATGAAAAATAAAATTATTTATTAAAATAAAATTACTGTAACTTTATTTATAAAGTTAAAATTATATAAATAAAATTTATGAATTAAAGATACCTAACTAAAAATATCTATTTTCTAATAATAATAATAATAATAGTAATAATAATAATATGGACTTGACTGGATTCATAAAAAATAAAAAAATAAATTTCTCTGTATCTTTCTTGTTTTAAAATTTTTTTGTGTGAGGAAAGATTTCAAATCCATCGACACAAATCTATTCTTTTTTCTTTTTGGTTCACTACCTTTGTTTATCACAACATTTTTTTTTTTTTTTTTTATAAAATGTCAAAGTTACGGGTTTGTTCCTTTTTATTTTTTTTCTTTGCATATTTTTCCAAAAATATTAATATTTTACTCACATTTATTATTTTTATATTCTTTACATAATTTCCTATACTTCGCATAAAAAATATATTTTCAAATTATTTTCACGAAATAAACATACGTAGGAGATATATGCAAATTAGGAGATATATGCAAATTCTTATTGAATCTTTCTTTGTTTATAATAGCGTTGACTCTATATGTTCTATTCTACATATAATAAATAAAATCATTATTTACACAATATATATATATATTACGGATAGTATATATATATACAATGACCGATCTACGTTGGAGTTTGGGGGTCAATTCACCCTCCCAGTTCTTTTCAATTTTTTTTTTTTTTTTTAAGTGTAATTTTTTCTAATTTTATTTAGTAATCATATTTGTCCCTCCAATTTGGGATTAATATTCTACATAAATCTCCATATTATTATTATTTTAATTTATAATAATATATTTCCTTCGTCCCATAACAAATTATCCATTTTTTCATTTTAGTATGTCCCATAACAAAATATTCATTTTTTTTTCAAGTAACTGTAATATCTACCTAACATTACAAATACCGTTATAACTTACAATATATTACACAAATGTCATTACCTTTATATCACACATACTAATAAGGTTATTTTAGTCATTTCTACTTTATTCTTACTACATCATAATATAATACTAATCATTCTAAAATTACGTGCAAAAAACAAATAGATGTCTAGTTATGGGACGGATGGAGTATAATATTTTTATTTATAAATATATTATATAAAAAATAAAATATTTTATCTTAAATATTGTTTCCGTTCATTTTTTTTTCACAACCACATTATAGTATTAATAAAAATTGAAAAAGTTAAGATGACATCAAGTTGGTATAAATGAATCGATTAGAAAGTTCTTATATTATTTTTTTTACACGCAGAAACAACCGTTCAAATAAAATATAGGTTCGAAATAAGTTGAAACTAAAAATAAACGGTAGAAAAATGAAACAAATAAACATAATAATTTTGGCCCCCCGGAGCCGCAAAGCTGGTTCCGTCACTGTTTGTATATATATATAATGAGATGTCCTTTTTTGTCGGATCACTACAAGAAATTATCAATTTTGTAACGAAATTTTTTCGTTATTAAATTCACTTTTTCTATTACTAATGATATTAGAAACGGAATTAGAGATGGAATTATGTTAGTTACGTGAACTTTAGGAACGAAATTCCGTTACAAATATACTAATTTTTTTTGTAGTGGATTTAGAAAATTCGACAAAATAACAAAAACAAACAAATAAGCAATAAAAAAAAAAAAAAAATTATAGATTTGTTTCATTGTGTGCGTGCGCGTGCGTTTGTGTGTTTTTTGTTTTTTTTTTTTTATGATATTTTAAATTAAAAATAAATTATTTGAAGTAACCATAATCAATTTCTCCTATTTTTGATTTAGCCTATAACAAAATCCTTTTCTAAAAAATTTCACTTAAAATATTGAGGTGGGCTGAAATAGGCCCATTTGTTTTAAATTTATTTGGGCTTCATACCCAACAAATAGAATAAAGCCCATGTAACACAATTAATTATTTCTTGGAGTAACATATCTATCATTTTTCTAAGCTTCTTGGAGTAACACAAATATTTAGACATGTTTTTGGACTAATATTATCAAAAAATATAATTTATATAATACATATTATATACACTCGCGATAAGTTAACAATTCAAGAAAAAATATTATTTATATATTAGCGATATATTTTTCATATCTAAAATAAAAACACTTTAAACTAAAAATACAAACAAACTTATTCATTAGTATGACTATGTTCTTTTATTTTAAAAAAATTATGAATTTTTTCAATTAGTTATTGATAATTGGAAAAGGGTATTAAAGAGTTGTGATATTGTTTGGATTAAAAGATTTTTAAATATTTTATTAAAAAAATTATGTATTTTTATTAAAAAGAATATCAGTGGGTTTTTTTTTTTTAAGAATAATATCATCAATAAATAATGTAAAACTTTTTTTTTTAAAAAATGTGTATAGAAATAGAACCTATATTTCATATAGAAAACATATTTAAAATATTCAAATCCCAATGTAGATGGGTAGGGGTTTGTTTGGTTTTAATTTGAAATTAATTGAGGGTTTGATTTAATTTTTAATTTAAATAATATTATAATATAATATTTTGTAAAAAGATAGTATATATTTATTAAAAATTGTATGTAGGTGTTTAAAATACAATGCGTAAGTTATTACATAATGTGAAATGTTATTATAATCAAAATCTCAAAAAAATAAAATAAAATAATTAAAATGAAAGCTATTTATATATGCATATTTTACCTGTAATTATTCACTATGCTGACCATATATGAAATGAGATGTTGGCCCAAAGTATTGAACAGTTTTAAATTAGTATTTTAAACTATTTAATTTGTTACCGAATAAATTAATGTCAGCTGAAAATTTCAATTTGTAATATAAAAAATAATATTTTATATTAAATTTTAAATTTTTTGTGAGTGAATAATTATATTTATTGTGTTAATATATGTATATTATATTTTTTTAATAATATTTATAGAACTGACGCTTAAAAGACAATTTCTACTATTTGAATTTTTCGTATCTTTTTTAGAAAAATATATAATTTTTTTTTTTTCACAAAATATTCAATTATACATTATTTTAATACTAATTTCAAACTAAAATTTTTTTAAATCCTATTAAAAAAAATGCAACAAACCATATATATATATATAGAAAGACTTACAAAAAATATAGAAACAAAAAAAAAAAAGTAATTAATAATTATTGGACAAGAGTGCACATAAGTCAAGCCTATCTTTCTGAAATTTCAAACAAACTTATTTATCAATCAATCTGTCAAAATATTGTCATTTTTTCCAAATTGCTTCAAATGTTCACACCTTGAATATTCAAAAAAACAAAAAATAAAAAAATAAATACATATAATTTGAAATGATCATTATTTATGTCAACCACTTCCTAAACATCTTAATTTAGACAGTGATGTTTTGCTTAAAAAGAATTCCTAATTAATCTGAGAGTTTAATGATCATGTACACTCATATTTTTAATTAATCATGCCCTTAAGCGTGTTAATTAATTAATTATTTTTATTTAACATATATATTTTTTTTAGTTGAATTATTACTCTTCAAAAATTTCATATTTTGTTGATAATCGTTTCGATCATATATACTCACATGAAACATTATATATATATATATATGTGATTTGCTCGCTATTTTTTTGAGTGCATACTGAGTAAATTTTTAAGCTTAATACAATAGTTTGCAAATCAACTAGTCGGATAAGTTACATTAGGAAAATTCTATCTGACAAATTCTCTCGAACAAATTTAGGGTGTGTTCTTTTGGGGATTTTTCCAGATTTCTAATGTTCATCTAATTTTTTCCCTCCAAAAACATCAAATCAAACATTTATTTTTCATTTTTTATATTATACTAAAAATCAATTTTACATTCAAAAGATTATGGCAACACTATTTCTATCACATCGTACAACTATTCCAATTCAAAAATTTTACTATTCAAATCTCGATACAAAATCTAAACCCCCAAACAAATACACCCTTATAATTTTACAATCATAAGTTCACCCACATACCTTCCTTTATCGGACATATCACGCGCATATATATAATATATGTGTATATATATATATAGAGAGAGATAGAGAGAGAGATAGAGAGAGAGAGAAATCTTCTATTTGAAGAAACTTACTAATAATTGATAAAAGAGGCAAACCAACAGCAAGAGTTATCATGTTTTCTTATGCACTAAATTGAGACAACACTCCAAAATTTGACAGCACACCTCAAAATTGTAATAACAAAACCAACCATTGTCAACACCCAAACTATACATACTTCTCACTGAAAATCAAAATCACCCATACAAATATATATATATATATATAACTAAGGAAATCCCCAGAATTTCCTGATCATTGATCATCCTATTACATCGACCTATTTGAATATGTATGTATGTATATATATATATATGCAGAAGCAAATCTTTGTAGCTCCCATTTGTGGGCTCAGAACCCTTTGCTCGAAACCCCGCAATAATCTTTCTTGATGTCCTATTGTATTACAACCATCAACTAAAACCACTGTCTTGATCATCAAATCCATACAAATATATATCATATGTGTGTGTAGCGGTGGGCTTAATTAATTTGATCATTACCTCAAATGCAATTAAATCGATCGATCCAGATGAACTTTGAAATCGATCAATCAATCAATCAATCAATCAATCAATCCCTGTCAGTGTTTGGATCCCTCTGAATTTTCCTTGCCAGGGTTTTGCTGATCGTGATGATGATGATCAATGGAGCTGCCATTTTGACCTAATTGATGATAGAATTGAGTCAATGCCTGGAAATTCATTCCGCCGATATGTCCGTCTTGAGACAGGCCGAGCTCCAGGGCGGGCTGCGGCGGCGGCGGCGGAGGTTGACCTAATCCGGCGGCGGGGGGTGGAAATTCGAATCCATTGAAACCGATTTTGCCGACGCGATTGGCGGCGGCTAGGACAGCTGGCGAGCCGATTCCATTGAAGCTGCAGGACCAAATCCCCATTGATCTGCCGAGAAAATCTTCGCCGATCATGGCGGCGGCGGCGGGGGGGAGGGTGGAGTAGAGGAGGCCGGAGGAGACGGAGCTGCCCTGCTCCGATGCGGATTCAGCGGCGGCGGCGGAGGACATGGCGGAGGCGGGAATGGTGCCGGTGCCGGTGGCGGCGATGATGGACGGCTCGGATTGCTGCAGCAGCCACTGGATGGTCTCGCCGTCGGTCTTGTGGCCGAGCTCGCGAGTCAGCTGGAAGATCCGGGCGGCGCAGAGCGCCGGAATTCTGATCCGGCGGCCGCGGCCCTCGACCTTCTTGTGGCGGTCCTTGTTGGAGGCCCGCTTGGCGACGGCGAGGTGGGGGCGGCGCGGCTTGTGGTCGGCTGCTTCGTCTTCAAAATTGGGCGGCGGCTTTGATGGCGGCTTGGCTTCCATTGCAGGAAGAGCCGAGAAATAATATGGGATTGGGGCCTCTAATTCATTCATCAATGGGACACCCACACCCACACCCACACCCACACACATGTAAAAGAAATTTAATTCCACCAATAATTTATTATTTATTATATATAATTGAAAATAAAATAAAGTTATTACTATTTTTATTGTTTTGATGTTTTTAGGGTTTACCATTGGTTTTTTTTTTTTTTAAAAAAAAAATTGCAATAATTGGAGGATGTCTTAAAGAATGTTTTTGGTGTGATGAACAGTGAATATGAAGCAAAAGGGTTTTGCTTTATTTATTTATTTATATATTTTTTCTCGTAACTTTTGCTTTTGTGTTAGTCGTATGATTTGATGAATTAATTTATTCAATGATAAATTACGCCGTTATTTAGGGTTTCTTTATTATTTTTAAAATATTGAATTGAATGGAGTAAACAAAATAAAAAATAAAAATAAAATTATAAAAATGATAATGAACACACAGATGTACAGTTGATGTGAAGTTTGCAATATCCTCTTATCCACAGACAAACACAGCTCTATCTGTTTGTTTGATTCAAAATAAATATGATCATTTATCAAAGGTATTTTGCTTTTCTTTAAAAAAATAATAAAAATATTAATTTATTAACTAGCTATCCATCTGTGTCATGATTAATTCCATCTTCTAATCTTCTTTTATTTGTATTTTATTTTTTTTATTATTATTTTTTAATGTTGTTCGTATTACACTATATATATATATATATAGTATAATTATTGGAAGAACTTTTTGCCAGGCTAAGTTTTTAAACTAGCTTAAATTGGAAAGAATCTTGCAGTTGAAGGAATTTTCCATAATTATAGACTTCGGAGTAATTAATAAATTAATAAATAAATATAAAATGTGTGACATTAAATAAATCAATAAATAAAATTGATTAGTTTGGTGACAACTGTACCGTTTGAATTAAATAAATGTCAATACATGTCGTTTATATATATATATATATATATAACTTGGGTTCGGATATGATCTTCAATTACAACTATAGGACCTGATAATAAATGAACGATCAAAATTTCGATTATTTTCAGACGCAAAAAGAAAAATTATGCGCGCTCCGCCAATGTCGATCGATTCGAGAAAATATACTAGTAAACTTAAAACTTGGAAGAAGATGAATCAAAATAATATGCATTTCCTTGAGTACTAGCACAATATGGTTGAAGATGGAATTCAATAAAGTCATGAACTCAAATTATTATTATTATTTTTTTTATTTATCGGGGAAAGTAACGTAGAATTGATTTATTTTACATCATATTTGTATTCATTGAACATCATATTATATGTATGAATACAACATAAATTTATTAGTTATCTAGTAACTTGGTGGTCGTATTAAGAGTTATTGAATTATAACCAAAATCGATAGAAAATACGGATATTCAATGACATGTTTCGAAGCTTTAATTCTACATTATTTATCAAATTCAATAGTTATGCATATAATTTAACGGGAATAAAAACAATCGAAATTATTTCATTGAGTCGATTTTAGATTTTATTGTGTGTGAGAATAAATATTACGTAAATAAATATTGCCTAAAAAAAGTATCATATTTCACGAAATAGTGTAATTAATAATTTTCAAAATAATTCCATTAAATTATTTATATTTGATGCTCAAATGTACATTAGAAAGCAAAAAAGTCAACTTACTCAAAAAAGTAATATTTCACATGTATAAAAGATTGCATTATATTGAGATTTATTGAACATCACTGAAGAAATATACCTTGAGTCTAGTTTCTTATAAAACATCATATTAGTACTATGATGACATTATACTTGACAATACTATACATCATTACGTTTTTTTATAGGTAAACTATTACCTAAAATTAAAATCACGATTAATCGGTGGTTTTAGAAATCAAAATCTAAATTGATTTTATTAAATTGGATACCAGACACCACATTATATCAAAATTTAGAAGTGTCGACATTTATAATTCAATCTTACTTCCGCTTAAATTAGAGATAATATCCAAAAAAAAATGAAGAGTTGATACGCCCCTTAAATCAAACCAAATACAATTATTTTATCAATTATTTTAACATAAGATAATAGTATAGAATAAATATTCATTTATGTGATGGGTGAAAATAAATATTTAGTATTTACCTATACAATGTTTATGCTAAGTTAACATCATAATTTTATGATACGTATATCAATTCATGATACTATGTGTATCATAATTTACAACGTTGTGATAGACATCATCTAGACTATATCTATACACTATAATAATACTCCCTCCGTCCCATAACAAACTATTTATTTTTTCATTATAGTGTCCCATAACAAAGTATCTATTTCATTTTTCAGTAATTGTACTATCTATCTAACATTACAAATACCCTTACAACTTACAATATATTATACAAATGCCATTACATTTATATCACACAATACTAATAAGGTTATTTTAGTCATTTCTATTTTATTCCTACTAAATCCCAATATAATATTAATATTTCTAAAACCCCGTGCAAAAAGCAAATTGATACATAGTTATGAGATGGGGGAGTATAATGTAGGAATCAAACAACAAAATTGATATAGATTTGAGTTATGCATACAAATGATAGTTCTATCTATTACAAAACCAACGCAGATAATTTTTTCATCAAGTATCTTAATACAAACAACTTATAGTCGATATCCCAATAATCTATTAACTTTCAAATTGGATTTACACATTTAAGCATCGAATAACAAAAATGAAACCCCTAAAGTATGTACCCTTAATAAAATTCCTCAGGGAGTTGCCGCTAGACTGAAATAGTTTATCGTTATTGAAATCGGCAACCTTCCTGGGGACACACAGAACTTGTATTGTACTTAGTTTTTTTTGGCTTGAGCTTCAACGATGGCTATGGAACTAGATTCGTTGTTTTGGCCATACGGCGGCGCGGCTCTGTAGTCGACGACAGGACTGGAACAATTGCGGCGGGGTGGCTGAAAATCGTGAATAAGGGTTTCCGGTCTGATGGGATTAGGGCTCGAGTTATTTTGGTGGACGATAGAAGGCGAACGGCGGCAATGGTGTGTGGTTGACGGCAGGAGGGGAAGACGGCGGCGGCGTGGTTGGGAGATTCGTGGGGGGAGTAATTTTGCACGAGGGTTAGGGCTAAGTGAATTTTTGGAGAGTGGGGGTTATTTCATTTAGTACGTAATTGTATATTGTTAATTATGGAAAAACTTTTAATTGAGGAATATTCTGAAATTAATACATAACAATATTAATTCGAGATTATGATGATGATTTCCAAAAATAATTCCGTTGATTGAGGTTAAATTTGGTTCACGAGTAGGTTTGGAATTTTGAGAAATCATAAGTCAAACTTACTCAATATAATGAATATTTCCCTTGTTAAAAATATTGCATCATATTATGAATTTGTAAACATCAAAATAAGATAGTATATATTATCTATATTTTACCTTGACATCATGCTAGGGATACTATGACAGCATATGGAAAATATATGTACATCATTACGTTTTTCAAATATTGTTTTATTTGAAAAGAATTTAATTGCATATATTTCTAATTTAGGTAGGTTAATGTTTCCATTTATAACGTAATTTATTATCATATTTATTTTTTTTAATTAATTGACATTTAATTACATCTTTTCAAAATTTCTAAAGTACCCTCACTGAATAACAACCATTAGATCGAGATGAATTTTGATCGAACGGACATGATGAGTTCAGGATGGTCCTAAATTTTATATAAGATCAGGAGTATACCAGTAACTATATACCTAGCTGGACAATCAAAATGTGTGTTTTTATATTTGAATTTAACTTTGAGAATTTATAAATATAAAAATGTAAATTGAATTAATATTTGATAATGTTTCAAAAAATTTGCAAATAATATATAAATAGAAAATTTTATATTATATTTGATCATTTTGATTTTTGATTTTTTATTTTTGATAAGTGGTACTAAATCATATTTTTATAGTATATATGTGTGTGAGTGTAGGTATGTTTAGTTGTATTTGTTTTATATATTTAGTTTCAATTTTTAATATTTTAAAGTAAAAAAGAATTATTTATTGTATATTTAAAAAATATATATTAAATAATTATAAAGATACAAGTGAACATGCCTTATATTTTGTTATATATTACTACTTCCTTCAGCGTATTTGATTAGTGATACTATATTTAAGATGACGGCAGTTATAGTACTGATTTGATCAAATCAACAATAATTATTAAATTATTATAAGTATATATTATATTACATACAATTACATATTGTGCTATGATATAATATATTAACATTTATTGTGTTAGTTAAATATTGTATTGTGCTATATAATTTGCTTATTGCACTATGGTACTAAAATTATAATCTATTGTGTTGAAATGAGAATTATATTTTGCAACCTCTAATTATATAAGTTTTATTAAAATATTTTTTATATATTATATTAAGATGTGCTAATTTCTTTATAAATATGTGATGATTGAGTTAAAATATATTATGCTAAAATTAGAATTATATATATTTTTATATGTAATTATATAATATGCTATTAAAATACTCAATCCGTTCACTTTAAATGTTTACGTTTGTTTTTTGTTTGTTGATACTTCTATTAGTGTCTTATAATACATATATAATAACATTTGTATAAAAAATTATACAAATATAAATGTATTTTAATGTTACGTACAATAACGCAAAACGTAAATTATAAATGTATTTTTAATGTTACGTACAATAACGCAAAACGTAAATGTAAACTTATTAAGTGGACGGAGAAATGACGAGGTCGTCAAAAGAGACGATGAACATGCACTACCATCAGGTCCGATTACTCGAAATCGTACCAAGAAGTTTCAAACTAATATTATGGCATTAGTTCTACACTTGGAAGAGGAAAACATGCACAAAGTTGAAGCATGGAGGCCAATGGGAAGAGCATTGTCAACGTTGAAGTGCATCCACCCTTGAAGACCACAATTTATAACACCCATGGAGTTTTTACTCACATCATTACCCATGTGGGATAAGAG